TTTCTAGTGTACAAGACACAACTGTGTCCAACTGTATATAGCTGCCAATTAGGTTTCTTTGTTTTTACTTTGTCCTTTGCTATCTGTGTTATGACTCAATGTGGATTTGTGTTTATAAAAATTTGAGGGGCTGGGGTTGTGGCTCAAGTGGTACAGTGCTCACCTAGCATGTGTGAAGCACTGGGTTCAATCCTTAGCACCACATAAAAATGAAATAAAAATATTCCTAAAAAACTTTTTTTAAAAATTTATTTGTATGACTTCATGTTAAACCTCAAATAAATGCTTCCTTACATGATGGGGAAAAAAGTACCACAATCATGAACAAAAGTAAATAATGCTATCTATCCTACAGAGATAAAAGTTATCCTAAGAAGTCATTATAAACTTTTTACCTTAATATGAAAATTAATGTGTTTAATTCCTGACATACCGTGATATTCTAATACTCCTGACCCTACTTATATAAAATGACAGATATAACTACAATTAGCATTCTACAAAACAATCTATTTACTCCCACTTTAAGAAATAAAACAGAGATGATACATGCATGCTTACCAAAAATACACTTAAAACTAATTAAAGCACAAAGATGGAAACTGGAAAGGAAAAGTGTGTCTGTGTGTATACACACACACACACACACACACACACACACAGATTGTTTGCTGGAGAACTATTAGCCATTAGAGAACACCTGAAAACTACTAAAATTATATAATCCTAAATTGGAAAACATCAAGTTTTTCTATTCTTCTAATTAACTCTGTGATTAAGGTTATACAAAACTATATAATGCTTTTCTCTTATCCCTATTTTATTTTTCTACCAAAGCAAACTTTGGTGCTAAAAATGGTTCCAGTTGGATACACACAAGAATTACAGGAAAAAGCCAGGCGCAGTGGCACGCTCCTATAATCTCAGTGGCTCAGGAGGCTGAGACATGAGAATTTGAGTTCAAAGCCAGTCTCAGCAAAAAGCAAGGTGCTAAGCAACTCAGTGAGACCCTGTCTCTAAATAAAATACAAAAGAGGGCTTGGGATGTGGCTCAGTGGTCGAGTGCTCCTAAGTTCAATCCCCTCCCCCACCCTCCAAAAAAAGAATTACTGGAAAGCACAGTAAGGCATTCTGTCTTTTAGTTTGTTTCTAAAATTGAAACAGCAGAGTCAAGCTTCCATTTGAAGATTTTTTTCAATATCAGTAAAAGGATATCAAAATCAACAATGATACATAATTATTTGCATTAACCTAATACAATGTCATACCTCATACAGGAATACCAAACCCTCTTTCCATCTTTTTGTAAACAAAAATTTTTCCATACAGACAGATATACTTGGATATGAGAGGTAAAGAGCACTTTTTAAAATCTAATCCTAAGAAGGTAAAATAAGCTACCTACATTTATCACATTCTTTTATTTCTCTATGTCATTAACCGATTAGTTAAAACCCTAAGAACAAAATTTATTATAATGTTCATACTTATACTTTTTGTTTGTTTGTTTGTTTGGTGCTGGGGATTGAACCCAGGGCCTTGTGCATGTGAGATAAGCACTCTACCAACTGAGCTATATCCCCAGTCCCATATTTATACTTTTTAATCTACTGATATTTCTAAGCATAAAGTAACAAATGTACATTCAATAAATCTGTATAGTTTTTAAAGTTTACTTTTATGCTTAATCCTTTTAAATTAATGACTAGAAAGAAAGAAAGAAAAATAAATGATGCCAAGTTTAACTCTGACGTTCTCTACAACTTTGATGGACCTAAAGGAAATTATGCTGAGTGAACAAAGCTAATCTCAAAAGGCTACATGCCATACAATCTTGAAATAACAAAAATTATAGAGACAGAAAACAGATCAGTAGTTACCAGGGCTTAAACTGTAGTAGATGGAGGGTGGGTGTGACTAAAGAGATCATTTTGGTGATCAAACAGTTTGTATCGAACTCTACTGGTGATTAAATGACTAGACACATGAGACAGAATGGCACATGAGACAGAACTATGCATCTGAGTTGTACCAATGTCAATATACTGGTTTTGATACTGTACCACAGCTATAAGATGGAGCCACTCAGGGAGTCTGGGTAAAGGGTACACAATGACCTTTCTATTTTCTTTGCAACCTCCTTTGAGTATATTATTATTTCAAAATAAAAAGTTTTTAAAAATTGCTTCATACATATCTAATTTCATGTGCCACTTCAAAGAACCCAAAAATAGAAACTGTAGGAAATTCATCTGAGTGCAGCTTATGCAAGAAAGAGCAGGATAACTCTTATTCTTGACCCATGCTCAAAGACACACCCTTAGACTTACATCAAGATTGGCAAATAAATATTCCAATGTTTTAAGAATAAAAAAGCTTTTAAAGCATCATGTACTAGTTTTGATAGTTCCTTTGTTGAACTGATATTTGGCTCACTGAAAAACTACCAATCACATCAGATAAAAGCCTTTTATTGTATGAATAAAATAGTGATGTAGCTACATCTCTTAGCTGTGTAATTTATTGCCTTTTCAAGAGAATAGTGAAAGAAAACAGTGATTCGAATGACTTGACACAACAATCTGAAAAAAAAGTGTTGAAAAATAAGCAGCATTATATTTATATAAAAATCAGATACCTGTCTGGCATATAACAGGCACTCCATTAAAACCTGCTAGTTACAGAGTCCCAGGCCTGATTCATCTTAATACCTATGATCAAGAAGTTGAAGAACAGTGTACTTTATAATACGTATGTATTAAAAGTATTCATACTCCAAAACCTTTCCATCCTAAAAGTCACTAAAACTTTCAAGCATATCAAACAAAAATAGCTTGTAGAAAACAGATTTACTAAATCCTACGAAACATCTTTCTACATATATATGTCTCTCACATATTAATCCTTAACTAGGTGTCAATTCTGCTTCCAATACAAAATCTCTAAGTAAGAAATTGAATGCTTCACTCTCCAGGTGGGAGAGCCATCCCAATAAGATAAAGGTAAAATCTGTCAGCACAAGATCTGCATCCACAATGTGTATCTGCAAGGATCCTAGGGTAAGACAACAGCATTGATTCCTCACATTTAATAAACAATGCTGAAGCTAGGCACAGTGGGGCACACCTGGAATCCCAGCTACTTAGGAGGTTGAGGCTCCTGCTAAAACAGGAGGATCACAAGTTTGAGGCCAGCCTGGGAAACTTTGTGAGACTCTGTTCAAACTAAATAAAAGGGACTGGAATGTAGCTCAGTGGTAGAGGACCACTGGGTTCATCCCTACTACCCAAAAAAATAAATAAGCAATGTTGGAGAAACTGTATAAATAGGGCAGCAATCATTTTTTTCATGGCATTTAAATACCTGAAATACCCACAATACATTTTCTTCTATTCAAAATCTAATCTCTTCACTTTTCCTAGGAGGCATTTTGGAGGACCTCTTTTGTTGAGCAGTGGAGGAGATATGATGGTATTGGGGATTGAACCCAGGGCCTCAAGTTCCAGAGTCAAACTTGTGATCCTGTTTCAGCCTGGGGTTACAGGTGTGTGCTACCACAGCCAGTTTGGAAGATTTCTGAATAATACTCAAAATGTCTAGGAAAGGCCAAAAACAATGTATCACACTGAACAGAAATCAAAAGAAAAATAACAAGCACTCTAAGACATAAATGGTGCCTCATTTTATGTATATTTGCCTGACTTGTCACAGGCTCTTAATTATTTATTATACTGGTTTTACATCAAGATGCTAAAACTCATATTTAGTAGTTACTAAATTTTTTTTCTACAATTTTTATTACTAAGAAAATAAAACTTCATTAGGTATGGTTCTTTACTTCAACAAGTTTATCAAAATACATAACTACAAATATAAAAAAAAATTCTTAAAGAGTTTGTGTGAACCTGAAGAGTTCAGTAATAAATTATCTTCACCTCTTCCATCTACTTAAAAAGAGACTAATAAATAAAAGGAAATGTTTAAACAAAAACAAAATCAAAAGAATAACAACTACTACACCAATTCTTGACCCAATTATCTAACATTATACCATTAATAACAATCCCATCATCCACAATGCTTAGCTTTATATCCACTGGTGCTCAACACCTGATTAAGGGGGGAAAATCAAGTAAAGGCAATAACACTTCAATACGAATATCTATGAGCAACTAACTACTGCTTACAACTCCCAGCGAAAGGTCACATACTATGTAAGACTATTCTAATAAATAGATTACTGAATATTTTAAATGGTTAACCTCAGGGAGGGGAAAAAAAACCATGTATATACCACAAAATATTCCAGACACTTTTTTGCTGGTAAAATGGAGTTCCAAAAGTAGTTCTTCCTAACCATTCACAAACAAGATTAGCTTAGGGGTAAAGAATCATTCACAGAAATATTACTGTTATTACCTGATAATTTCCTGACAAGTTTATAATTACTTTATTAAATCAAACATTAGACTCTAAAACCAACATTATTTCCTTAGGTTTCTGAAGTGAAAATCTGCCCACTCCTCTTAATAAGACCAGTCATAAATATAAAACAAATAATTCAAATTAACTAACTCTTATCTCTCCAGAAACACAAACACAAGTTCCCATAAAATGTGAGGGTTTCTGCAAGCCACAATAAGTTACTACATGTCCTTTCATTGTTCCCCCACATAATGAACAGAACATCTCAAAACTATCAGTAACAAAGAATGGTCACCAAGACTTTGTGGTGTGATGCAGACTTAGTGAATAGGAAAAATTTTTGCGTAACTAGATCTCAAAGTTTATTGCACTTACAAAGAACTATAATTAAATTACAGCCACTCACTTTCTACAAACCAGCAGTAAACGCTGTTACATCTTAAGTTACAGAAAATAAACCATTTCTCTAATATGGCAAGAACTGACATCCTCTTACATATCCTAAAACAAACCCTTAAGAGAAACTAAAATACAGAGGCAGAAACACACCAAGAAAAAGTAATGTCAAACCTCACCTGTATATCTGTTTTCAGCCATTTGGAGTCAAGACGAGCCTGGGCAGCCAAACAGAAAGACTCAGAGGGCATCTTTCCTCCAGCTGCCTCCCAGTTATCAGACCTACAAGTAAAACAGAAACGTTGAAGACCTAAAGCTTTTTAAAATTTCACAAAGACCCTCAAGCAAGGTTTAATGCTGTGGAGAGAAAAATGGCAAGAAGGGAGAGAAGAATTGGGGGAGGGGAGTGAGGATGGGAGATAAGAGGGAACGATGGAGAGAAGGAGGGAGGAGAAAGGAAAAGCCTACTTCCAATATAGGTAGGATTCTCCAGGTTTTTGTAATACGTTGGCGAGTCCTTGAGAATGGACGGTCATAAGAGACCAAAGCACAATGTCATCCCCCTTCCTTTAATCCAAAAGATATACAAACAAACACAACAGAAGCCCCTCATTTCAACGACAAATGACACTAGCATGCATCTGTCGCTTTAACACCAGACCAGTGCGTGGTGCGTGAAACAAACTAAACAAAAGTCACATCTGCAGAAAAATCCACAACATCACTTAGAAATGAAAAGACAGCCGAGACCGCACCGCAGGCGGTTCCCGCAGGCCCAGGTCCCAGCTGCCGCGCCAACGCCCGCCACCCGGGCTCGGCCGCCCTTCCGCCCCAGGCCGGCCCCGCCCCGCCGCCGGCCATCCTCGCGCCCCGGACACCAGGACCTGACTCGCTGCGGCCAGGCAGCCTCGCCCCGCCGGCGTGCGGGAACAGCCTTCAAGCCGCAGCTGGCCCCGGCCGGCGCTCGCTATCCCGGCGCCTCTCGCGGCCCGAGGGGCAGGCTGACGCGCGACTGCCGCCCCCAGCACCCAGCCAATCGCAGGAAATCAACCCCGCCAATACAGCCAATAGGGAAGAGGAACCCCTTCGCTGCTCCTCCCAACTCTCCGGCTTCCAGCAATCCTGCTCCTCTTCCTTCTAGGGTCTCACAGGCTGCGGCCAGGGCCAACCGCAGGTGCCGGGAGGCGGGATTTCCGCCCCACGCACGCACACGATCCCGTCCCGGACTTCGCTTAGTGTTGGAGAGCTCCTGGGACTCTAGTAGACTTTGGACTGACCTACGGCTGAGCGTGACCGAGGCGAGATCTACACTTCTGAGGATACCCTTGGTGAGAGCAGCTCTACCCTTCAATAGCTTCCTCCTGGTCTTGAACCACTAACAACTGAAACCTAATGCCAGTGACTGAGAACGCTGAGACGGAAGGATCTCAAATTGGAGGTCAACCTCAGCAATGTAGCAAGAACCCGTCTCAAAATATAAAGGACTGAGGATGTATGGTAGAGCATCCCTGGGCTCGATCCCAATACATAAAAAGAAAGAAAAATGAAATCACACTAAATATGTTCTCTGATCATAATGGAAGTAAGCAATCAACATGATGACAGGACAGCCTCTAAACATTTGGAAATTAAGCGCTACATATCTAAATAATCCATGGATTAAAGAAGAAAACGCAAAGGAGAAAATATTTTAATTGAAAAAGAGTTAAAGTACGCGGTCTGTGGGCCTAACAGTAGTAGAGCTGCTTGCTTAGCAGGTGCCAAAATAAAGAATACAGTATCAAAATGTGTACTAATGTTGTAAAGTGAAATTTATGGCACTCACTGCTTCTGTTTAAAAAAAAAAAAAAAAAAGGAAAGGTCTAAGATCAGCAATCTAAGTTTCCGTTTTAAAACACTAGAAAAAGAAGCAAAAAAATTGACCCTTACATCCAAAACAAACAGGAGGAAATAACAGAGGAACAAAAATTGAAAGAAATTGAAAACAAAACTACAAGAAAATAATACTAAGAGCTGAACCTTTGAAAAGACCCAAAAAGTCCATGAATGTATAACAAACAAGGTTGAAAAACACACACACACACACACACACAAATTACTTCTATAAAAATGCAAAAAAAAAAGATATCACTAAAGACCCCACCAACTTTAAAAATATCGTGAGGCAATACGAGGAACAATTAATTCTATGTACATAAATTTGACAATTTATATGAAATGGACTAATTACTTAAAAGCACATCCTACCAAAATTCACTCAAAAAGAAATACATAAGCTGAATTAGCGTATGTTGAATTTCCCATTAAAAACCTTCCAAACAAGGATAGGGGTGTAATTCAGTGATAGAGCACTTGCCTAGCATGTGCAAGGTCCTAGGTTTGATATTCCCTACCACAAAAGAGGAAAAAAAAATTACAAAAAAATAAATCTCCAGGCTCATATTGTATTGTTGGTCAATTCTGGCTCTACCAAATATGTAATAAAGAAATAATAATTCTACAAAAACTCTTTCAGAAAATTGAAGAGAACTAAACATTTTCATTCTATAAGCTTATTATTACCCCAGTAGCAAAACCATAAAAAGACATTACAACAATATTTTATACCCTTCTTATCCTCATGAACTTAGGTGCGAACTTGCTAGCCAACTTTGAGCAAATGAACTCTAACAACCTACAAAAAGGATAAGTTATCACAACTGGGGTTTATCCCAAGAATTTCAAAGTGGGTTTACCATTCAAAATTAAGCATAACTCACCATCTCAATAGATGAAAAAATGCTTTTAATAAATGCCAATATCTATTCATTATAAAGCTCCCAGCAATTGAGGGAAAAATAGGAAGAAAAGGAAACTCCTCAGCCTGATAATGCACATCTATGAAAACCTCCATCCAAGCCAAACAGTATTGATAAAGAAGAACAAAGTCAGAGGAGTCATACTTCCTGATATTAAAGCCTACCACACAATGACAGGAAACAAAATAGTGTAGCACGTTTATAGGATAGTTTTTATAGCCAGTGGAATAGGATAGAGAATCTGGACCATAACTGGAATCAACCGGTCAGTTGATTTTTTACAAGGGTGCCAAGATCATTCAATGAGGAAAAAACAAGTCTTTTCAACAGACAGTGCGGGTGAACTGAAAATCCACATGCAAAAGAATGAAGCTGGACTTCTACCATTGGACTCCAAAATTGGTCAAAGATATAAACAGAAGAGCTGAAAGTATAAAACTTAGAAGGAAACATGGAAAGAAAGCTTCATGATATTGGATTTGGCAATTTTAATATGACACCAAAAGCACAAGCAACAAAAGAAAAAATTGAATAAAGTTTTGTATATCCCTAAAGCAATTTGGGTCCCTGCTTCGCACTGATTTACACACATCTCGGAACTCTCTGTGACTTACAGACTTTCATCAGCAACATCTTTAATATTTTTTCCATTACTGGGAATTGAACCAGGAACACTCTACCAACGAATGACATGCCCAGCCCTATTCTATCTTTTATTTTAAGATGTATTGTTGCTAAATTGTCAAGGCTTGCAATCCTCCTGCCTTAGCATCCAAAGTAGCTGGAATTACAGTTTTGTGCTTTCCAATATTCTCATCATATTATTGTTCTGATGAAAAATCTGTTGTCCTTTGTGGAATACTGTGGCTTTTTATTATTCCACATCCATATATGTTGGCATAAAGATCAGACAACTATCTTCCTGACACTTCTAGACCTTTTTTAGTCAACTTTTGCATTACTGTGACCAAAATACCTGACAAGAACAACTTAGGGGAGGAAAAGTTTATTTGGAGTTCATAGTTTCAGAGGTTTCAGTCCATAGATGGTTGACTGCATGGCTCTGGGCCCAAGGTAAGGCAGCATGTCATGGATTAAGGGCTCAGTGAAGGAAAGCTGCTCAACTAATGGCAGAGTGAGAAAGCAGAGAAGAGGAGAGAGGGGACCCGGGGCAGGTCCCCAGTGACCCACTTCCTCCAGCCATGCCCCACCTGCCTACAGTTACCACCCAGTCCATTCAAACTGGGATGGTCTAATTAGGCTTCAGCTCTCACAATTCCATCATTTTACCTCTGAACATTCATGCATTTACAGGAGTTTTTGAGGGATACCTCATATACAAACCATAACAAGATCATTATTCCACCTGCTTCCTATTAAATAAAGCAAAAGACAATTTATTTGAAATGCTTACTATCCGATTATACCACCCGCTGCTCCTGATTACAATAATCCACAGTCTTTCCATCACTTCCCCACATTTGCTAAAGATTTAGCACTTGACTCATGACCTTTTCCCCATAGCTATTACATACATTATCAAGGACTTTCATTTCAAGGAAATCACCAGCCAGTTCCATCAGCTTTTAGTCCTTTGCTGCCAAACTTTCAACCATCTTGTTTACCACCGAACCTGAGCCACTCACCACCAGGATCAGTCCTATTCACCAAATCACCTTGAAGATCATGATTGTGAGTCTCCCACTCTTCAATCACCACATCTCATCTTTATAATTCATGTCCTCTGGTAAGTATTCCACTGATCTTTGACTCCTCTAGGGGAACATTGACTTGCATCCTCACTTCCCTTTTGTCAGTTTAGATTTTAAATTTTGCAGCCTGGCATGTCCCTTGCCTACACTCTCTGATCACCTTTTCCTCTCTGCCTCCATCATACTTGCCTGGCACACCTCAAGGCCAGATGAATCCACTCCACTCAATTTGAATGTGGCACAACTGCTGAGGCTATTGAATACCTATACAATACCCTCCTGGGGCTGCACAGCAATTTGGTGCCCAAAATACAACAGGCCTGAGATAGCAAAATAGAGAGATGGAAGAACACCCCAGAAGATGGATTAGCCCAGTGTGGGGCCCATCTGCCTCCAGACTCTCAGGTTAGAAGTACTTAAACAACCTGCTATTGTTATTTACAGACAAAAGTACTCCAACTGATAAAACTGTTTTCACCATGAAAATTACTACTATAATGTATCTATAGTTTCTTCCTTCCCTTCTATTACTGAAAATAAAGCATCTGGCTTTTAGAGGTAGGCAATCACTCTACTAGTGTATTTTGACTATCTCCACACCTGTCAGTGACTCTGCTTGGGTATTAGTCCCTGCCTGGCCTATTATGCTGTATCAGTTCAATCATCTTGTAAACATGCTATGAAGAATCTCCATTAAACTGGACTGGAGGTGTAGCTCAGTGGTAGAGCACTTACCCAGAATATATGAGGTCCTGGGTTCCAACCCCCAGTA